TCAGGGTTCACGGGGCCACACTCGGGGTCGGATCCCTCCTCGCTGGTTTCATAGGGGAGTCCACAATGGTTGCTATAGCAGCCTGCTATGTTTATCGACAACAGGTGAGAACACCTGGACTGAGGTCATTCTAAACATGAGTACACACCTCTTTTTGCGTTTTCTTTTTTTTCTTTTCGCTCTTTATGGGTCTGTGAACAGACGGCGTGTGCCTCACTAATTATAATTTTCCTGTTTAGTCATTATCCTTCCATCAAAGCACACATGCGAGGAGAAGGCTTGGGCATTTTTATTTATCCCTGTGCATGGGCATAAAGTGGACCTGCTATGCTTCTCCTAGCTTTCTCTCATTACTGTTGGATTACTGGTGGATGCTCACGTGAAACTTGGCCAAAGTTTGAAATAACATGTTGGTGAACCACAAGCTCAGGCTTCAGACTGATCTCTGTGAGGTCAGTGACAGTGGCCATCCCTCAGGCTTCAGTCTTGCACTCCTAGAGATTAGTTAGCAACCACAGGTTGAATTCCCAGACCAGTTGGCAAGTGGCTTCTGGCAAAGACGGCGCTACACAAAAAAATATATATCCTCCTTGTCATTGCTTTGGTCACTAAAACACCAGAGTGGCCCGTGGTTTGTTGGGAAGATAGCAACACGTCTGCAAACGCACTGCCCTCCTGTTAAACCGGAGTATTAACAGGATGATGAGTGATTGGTCATAAGAGATCATCGGATTGTTTGGATTTTATCTCTAATTTTGAAAATTGCATTTCCTCAAAATATAAATTTTTTTTTTTTTTACTTTAAAGCAACAAATTAAATTGAAACTGTGAAGTCCAATACAAATTGGAAACAAAGTTTGCTTTCAAAATAAAAGTTTACTGGTTGCAGGTCAAGCTCAGCTTTTAATTTGAAGGTGAATGGTTTCACTACCAAAGCAGTCCAAGGAGGTTTTTAGTGCAGAAGCACTCTTTGTGATTTGTGACCTGTCAGGGAATTTTTCCATAGCAACGAAGGTCACCGAGGGTCACGGTTTGTAGGCCTTTGTGACCGAGTCTAATACAGTCACCTCAGGTACAGAACTCCCGGCCACTGTTTAATGTTTCTGTTTACAAGGAGCAGCCAACCAGTAGAAAGCTTGCACAAAGGAGGAGGAGCTAAAACGACAGACAAGTCGAACTAACAGCATGATTATTATGAAGGATTATTTTGAGCTGTAAGTTATGCAAAGCTCCTCTAGCAGAATTCTAGAATTAAAAAAAAAATATATCAAGTTGACATCATCATAAAGTGTCACCTTTAATGTTCTGTTTGTCTTAAAAAAAAAAAGAAAGTAAAATTGAAAACGGTACAGCTTTAATAAACTTGTACTTGCTATTCTGTGACCACACCTCTCTGATTGTCAGAAATATAACATTCTCTTTGTTTATTTTAGGAAAATGTTAATTTGTAAGGACAGCCGGTTTCAGATGAACAACCTTGTTACTCCCGGCATCCTGTTGAAGCAGCAAGCTGCACAGTGTTCATGTTGCATTAAAAAAAAAGTATCTGAAAACATGGCGTTTCTTCCATTTTAGGCAAATAAACAATCTCCAGCTTTGCTTTTTATTTTAAAGGAATATTTATGTTTGTGTTTCATGAATGGTGCATCGTATTTTTCTACTCAATATGAATCAGTAGTCAGCCTGGCTTTGCATGAAGACATAAAGGAAAGTTGGTCTTTCCCTGTTTAAAGGAAACTAAATCTGCCTACAAGTAAGGCTAAAGCTCTCTGATTAACACCTTACAGCTCATTAATCCGCACAAAAACACCTAATTGGATAACATAACAGGCTGAGATCATAGCCAGAAGGCCGTGGTGTTTCTTGGCTAAAACGCTGTGCCCTCCTGGTGTTTGAGCCAGGCAGCTTCATGGTGAAATCATTGTGCTCAGCCAAGAAATAATCAGGCACAAACCTGCAAACTGCTTTTTTACACGGTTTTTATCCAGATTAAACAGAGATGTAAGGTGTTAATTAGTGACTTTAGAGGTGCTGCTGGATGGATTTTGTAACCTCTGGACTCACAGTGGCTTCATTTTTACTCATTTGATTCAGCACAGCAACGATTTTGTTTCCATTTCCCCCGTCTGCTTTGTCCACAGAAAAACGAGATGTCCAACGAGCTGGTGGTGGAGGGCGAGAACTCGGCCCCCATGAGCGAGGTGTGCTCCAGGAATCAGATGGATGCCATCGAGGAGCTCCAGGAGGAGGACGAGGAGGAACAGGAGTGAGATCCGAGGGAGCGGAGGAGGAAGGTAAAGCCGAGCTCAATGTGGGACATACGGTGCTGGAGGAGAGAGGGGACCTCCCGAGTATGGTTTTGGTTTCAGAGGTCCCCTCGACAGAACTGAGGTCTTCTTCTTCACCTCGACCACCTCACCATTAATGCGCACACTGTAAAGAAAGCCATGCACCTCCACGTGTTCATCCATCAATGTAAATACCGTTAGCGTCTTCCGATCTTCAGTGCTCATAATCTGCGGGGCGTAATAATCATTTTCATGTGTTGGCAAACAAGGGAAATCGACACGGGAGAGCTCTTCCTCCTCAGCGGCGAGAATGGAAGCGTCTGTCGAGTGGTGGTGGAGTTGCCAAAAGAGTTCTTTATGTTCTTTAATCGACGATTAAGCAGCAAGGCCTTGCTTGGATTCAGATATAGACATACTGTGGGACTTGTTGGGTTGTGCAATCGTATTTTCCATACAACGGTGTACAGATTATTGTTGTTTTATATAGGTAATGCATCGTGTATATTTAATTGCCCAGGGGGGTCAGGAATCCCTCGTTATTTATCACTGCGTGTTTCAAAACGAACCAAAATGCCAAAAAAATAGTCATGATTGTTCTCTTTCCATGCAGTCTGGGAGTCAACTTTTGTTTTGCCCAGCATTTTCCTGGTGGTATTCAGGCTGTCATATGTACTGTATATACTGTAAAGGCATTCTTATTTGGCAAATAAATTGCTTTATTAATAATCTTCATGCTTACCTGGAACTGGCTTTACCTTCTTGTTTCTTTGAGTCTAACAGATACCACTGCAAAATCATGTTTATTTTTCTCCCCCTGAAGTGGATCTGTTATACATTTCTGTCATGTACAGTGCTCACAGTATCGATACACTGTACTTATTTGAAGCTTGGGCTATGTACAAGTAATCAATGAAGGTTTAATAACTTCAAAAATTATTTTTTCCTTCTCTTGTGTGTTGCTAAAGTTTAATAAAGGGGGTTTTCATATAAAAGCAACCTTTTTGCTGCTTCCTCGGGAGCAGGGTCGCTCCGCAAGTTTAAATTGACGGTTTTGCACCAGATGCCCCTCCTGATACAAATCCCCTTGGGGTTGTCTTCAGCTGGAATCAAACCAGCAGCCTTTCACTTGTTAAATGTGTAAACAAGTCCATGTTATGTGGTCAGAAAATTTGGTTTTGTAAAATATTCCCACTACTCTGCAAGTTTGGAGGGTTTTAATTAAAAATGCCATTTTGGTTGTGAAATAAATTTTAATCTTGTGTTTATTCCTTCAGGAAAGCCAAACAGACTGTTTTGTATGGAAGCTCATTTCTGCCACAGAAACACATTTGAACAATAATTCCCAGGAAAGATTTTGATTCAAATATCTATATTTTGAGATAATTGACCTGAAATTTTAACTTGTCGATGGAAAATGTTTTTATTCAGTAGCAGAATAAAACTTCAGAGCTCTGTTTTCATTGACCAGAGTCCAGACGGTGACAGAGTAAAGTTTCACTAGATTGCCGTCGGTATTTTCAGAGAACGAAATTTTTCAAACTAAGCTGACGTTTCAGCCTTTTTCCCCCCACATGAATGCCTGCTAACAGAAATATGAAAGCAGTTTCACACAACCAGTGAGTGAAAGTTAAACCTACTGTTCTCTCCAATAAGCAGGTAACCATTGTTAAATCTGCATTATACTCAGTCAGAGAGCGTGCATGAATGGATCTGAGATAATGTAATTTACTGGTTACAAGTTTGGTTACGGCAGAATTTTTTTAGGCCTGTATTGTTTTATTTTTGGCTTTGAAAGCTAAAGGGAACTGAATTTATAGTGGATTTTGGACTCTTTCAGCTTAGTTTTTTTTTTTTTATTCATTATATGACATTTGTGTCAGGGGTGAGATTTAATAAGTTTAAAACATCTATTAAAATACAAACACTGTTTTCATAAATCTGGGGGGGCTCTGTTGACAAATTTGAATCTTGCAAAACTTTTGTGATTACAAACTAATGTTTTTGTTCTTTTCAACATCTGAATTTGGTATTAACAAAATAAAAACGCTGGCAAGCGAAGGAAGCGGTGCTCACAAGCACCAGGTTCAGATGTCAGGCGAGGGGCAACCAATCAGAAGAAAGTGGGCTTTTACTCTTTTCTGCCATAAAGACATCTGACAACCTCCCCTAGTACCCTAGATCGTCAGGGTTGACAATTCAGTATATAGATGTGGCTATCTACACATCTATCTGGAGTAATTTCCAGGTTTTTCCAAGGGTATACCTAGACCTGATGCGTAGCCAGTCATTTTGTTCTGGAAGCAGGTCAGACACCAGTTCGGGAAAGAGAAACAAGGGTGACCAGAAGAAGGTATCAGAGGGTGAAGAATTAAAATATGCAAGTCTTAAAGAGATGGCTTGTTTCGCACAGAGGATGAGCTGCATAAAGACCCCGTTTAAGATGCTTTTAAACTCATCCTCATCCTGTTTAACACAACTTTATTCTAATTGGCTGCCCCTTGCAAACTTGTGGGTGGAGCTTGTGAGATGACCATATTAGAGATATCCTCTCCCTCACTGACCTCATGCAGAGCCAAGATTAGAAAAAAGAAAACTCTTAAATGGGATGAAAACGATTACTTGTGCATATGCCGAGCACACTGGCCCTATTTTAAATGAGCATCCACTATTGTAATAGTATACATAAGACAAAGAGGAAAGATCCACTTTAAGAACGTTTTTACACTGTTTTATTTTGTCTACAGACCTCAATCCAGAACTTTACCCCCACCACCCCAAAAAAATCATTTTATTTAAATGCTGTCCAAAACTTTTGACAGTGCAAGAACATTCCTGCAAATGGCATAACATTTTCTTTAATCACCTTTACCTGCTCTGGAATTAAGACATAAATGGCCTCTTATCACCAATATCCAACATTCATTCTTACTGTGCATTATTTCTAAGGCAACACGGAGGACCAAGCGAGCCTTTTCTGAGTCCAGCGGCTGGTGGTTGGGTCTGTTGCCAGTGTTAGCAGCAACATTGGCACATTTCTTCCCTTCAGAACAGCTTGGTTAAAAGGCAGCATGTTACACATTGAGTTTAACACACACATACACACAAAGTCAAACACACATGCACACACAGACTGCCACAAATCACACCTCTGACACAGAGGATGCGAGTAATCTTCTGATCGTCATCTGGTGTTGAACCTGATAAATCGTCCAACCCTTCATTGACTAATTCAGTTGCTTCACTTAATGAATTTAGACGGTCACACTTGTTTTAAAAAACAAAACAATAAATTAACACTCAAAGTGCCCAACATCCAGTGTAAATACCATCACCTAAAGTTTTTGGCGCCGTTGGCAGCTTCACTCAAAATTTTACATTTAAAAAAAAAAAAAAAAAGACTTCTGAGAAAATTTGGGCTTTTTTTCCTTCCAAAATGACACCCTGCAAGGGAATCTGCGTCTATCTGAGAAAATCACAGGATATCGGATATGTACACATATCCAAATAGAAAACTGTGTATACAGTACAGTGTGTACAAGAACATGTAAACCAAACCTTGTACGTGGTCTTGAATCAGCATTTTGTTGTGTGTTGGTTTTTTTTGTTGTTGTTTTTTTTTAAAGGAATAGGTCAAGATTTTTGGGACGTGTGCTTATTTGCTGAGTTAGACATGTGAAGCAGGAGGCAGTCAGCTTAGCTTAGCATAAGGACTGTAAGCGGGGGGAGACAGCTAGCTGTTCTCTGCCAAAAACAAACTGTATACCGAAGATGGACACAGTCACTGTGACGTTATGTTTGCTTAATGGCCTTAAGCACTTTGGTTTTTGGGGCCAGATGTGTCAACGTGTCAGCTAATGCTCGCAAGGTTATCCAGAAAGCTCCACATACAGACTGTATGGGTGCAGTGCATAGACGGATACGCTCCGTAATCAGTGCAACATTCAGGCAGTAACTCACTACAACTGAAGCAAAAACTTATAGAATGGGCCCTACTACACAGCAGACCATAATATTTGTCAAACAGTACCAGTTGACTAGTTATTTAAATGTTGCCTCCCTGCTAGTCAGCTGCTGAAATAGCTGGTTAAACAAGCAGCTAAAGCCAGGGTTAACCACATTCTGCACCGGGGTGTGCTTGCATGAATGAAAAAAGGACCTTTTCATTAACATGGAATGTGTTTGCAGAATGTCAAATTTTTAACTTGACAAATTTAAAACGTAAGTCCCGGGGGCTGGAATCGGCCTGGCAAAGACTCCAATCTGGCCGACTGGATATCTTTAGACAATGTAAGAAATCGTGGACTTATATTGGACTGTTTTCTGTGTGTTTTACTGTTTTTCCTACTAATTAAGATCGCCTCCACAGCCACACATACTGCACCATAGTAATTGTGTACTGGATAACCAATTAAATGACAGAAAAGCTGCACCATCTACTAGAGAAGTTTCTCCTTTTTTACAGTGTGTCCACAGCAAAATTGATAAATAACAGAGCATTTTATATGAATTAAAAAAAAAAAAAAGTATGCTTCATAATTGCAGGACAGTCTGGGCAATGAGCTACCAGAACTTTTCTGTAATTTGTAACATTTATTTCTTGTAATGAAATCCCAGAATTCTTTTGTCTGCTGCAGCAGCATTTCTTTTGAGACGTAGTGTTGAAATCGCACTTCTTCTTATATTGAGATTAAATGTGTAGTTAAACTTCTTCACGCTGACACAAAGGAGATTTTCATCTGTCCGGCCCACTTAAAATGAGTTTGACATCCCTGATTTAAGGTCTGCTCAATTCTAAAGGTTTTCTGAGTTATTATTTTGCCTTTTAGAAATGATGACTAGCCAGGAACATCTCTAATAAAAGGCCCAAAACAAAAATCATCAGTCTCTTGTGGAGGTCTGCAGGTTTCAGGTTACCACTCATTCCAAAGGTAAGAACATCCTCCCACCAGCACCTTTCCTTCAGAAGTATCTTAATTTAAGCCAACTAGCGATCACAACAGAAGAGTTTGTCTTGTTTCGCTTTCCTGCTGATATTTAAACAGCTTTTTTATGATGGAGATTAAAACTGAGACCAGGCTCTTAACGTGCATTCACCTCTACTTCTGGTGGAGTGTGTGCACAGTGATAAAGATCGCTCATAATTTAAAGCAACAGATCTGTGATCCCTTTTTCATCTAACAGTCCAGACAGATGTGACCCATGCTCGGCACAGGTTAATAGATAATAAAGGAAATAGAGAAAGGTTAGCGAGGCACCTCTGTCCAGGGAAGAAGAAAATCATGTGTCATTGATTTCTGTGTGGATTAAAGTAAAAGCAAACAAACAAAAACAAACAATCAAAAGTGCTGGTGGTTGTATGTTTGTACCCTTTACTTCCATTCTTTGTACTAAGCTAAGCAAACTTACTGCTGGCTGTCAATTAATAAGCACACTTCCCAAAACTATACCTTTAATTGATAAATCTTGATCAACCTGAGGGGTGTTTGTATGGCAGGAGGTTTTTCTGCAGTGGCAATCAGCTGGAGGGGAGCTCCTTTTGTGTTTCTGCAGCTTCTACAACGGGCACATTGTAGTGGCGATCATCCTCTGTGACGAGGCACACAGATTCCCAGTCGTCCCTATGGTCGTCCGGGTAGTAGGTGACAAACTCCTCTGTGTCTGCCTTGTACAGTCTGTAAACTTGAATGGTACACTGCAGGGCGTAGCCCAGCAGAAACATCTCCACCTGCCCAAGAGAGAAAATGCAAAGGGAGGGGGGAGGGGATAATTGCACAGTTACAGAGGAACTCCAGCAGACTTCTCAAACAGCTCCATGTTTGATCAGCTGCTTCAGCACAAAACATTTACGGGTGGAGTCTCTCTTTAGAAGCAGAGCTTGTAAAATCTGTTATTCAAAAAATGAAAATAACAATTAAAACGCTCAGCAGTTGAGAACTACCTCTGCCCCCGGGGTCAATGGTGGATCACTCAAAACAAGCGGAAAACAAAAAACAGAGCAAGCGCCGGCATGTTTTACTATTCGGCTCTCACATGACAAAAATGTTAACACACCCACCTCGTGATGTTCAGCCCGAATTGTTGTTTTTGTTACTGAGTGCGACAGATGTTTACTCAGTGGGAAAGAAAATTCCCAGCAACCTTTTACCATAAAGTTGTCAAAAACAACAGAGACGCTTCCCACCTGCTCCAGACCTGCGGTCAGGCCCACGTGGCTGAGGTGGTTGGAGAGGAAAGAGCGTGGACAGTCGGAGGAGTCCCGCGCGAACAGCAGCCAGCAGAAGAGGGGGACGTCTTCACCGCCCTGCATGCAGCTGTGCAGCTCTGCCGCTCTGCTCAGCATCAGCAGCTTGAGAGCCTCCAGCAGACCGAGCTCCTCTTCTCCACCCTGAAACACTCGCTCACAGAGCTGCTGACGCTCAGCGTCGGTGGCACAGTCCACCGCTGCCTGCCACTGGAGACAAACAAAGTGTATCAGTCACTGAAGAGGTCTAAAACAGCTGGCTATACATGAGAATTTACTGCTTTTTTCAGACATAATTTCAGGTTATGGAACTTAAAGCTCAGATAATGAGGGCAGGTTGTTGGTAGAGATGGCACGATACCACTTTTTTATGTCCGATACAGATATCATAAATTTGTATATCTGCCGATACCGATATGAATCCGATATAGTGTATTTTTTTTAATCAATAAAACTGTTTTTTTAATATCTTGCTGCATTTTGTATAGGTTCATACATTTAAAAAACAAACAAACAAAAAAAAAAAACACTAAAGCTATTCTGATAAACCTGTATGCAAAAAATACACTGCACCCAAAATATTTCATAGTTCAGCAACACTGAGCTAATAAAGTTAAACCCACACCATCCTCCCTATTCTGGTATTTTAAAGAGTACTTAGCAGAAATATTAAACAACCTAACTAATAGGGTTGCCAACAAAAAAAAATAGGGAACCACCCTCCACCTCGTGATGCTTAATCGATGTAATCAACTTTAATTTAATGCACGTGTAAAAATAAATAAATAAATGCACAGAAATAAATTATTTTTCTACAATAATTAAATAGATTCAACATCTTTCTTCAACAGAATTGCAGACCGCACAGATGGTTCCCAAAGGAAAAAGTAGTATAGCTTACCAGGGTATATATTAGACTTAATAGTTACTATATACAGTAATGGACTTCTATTCATTTTACGTCAGATTAAAACTTTGGGTGTAAGATTCAGATAATTATTTAATTAAAGCTAGACATTTTAAATGAGAATAAGAAAGAAAAGTATGTCTTTGTGCCCCCTTTTCCCTGTTAATGCCCTATCGGCCCCCCTGGCTAAACTTTGCTAGATCCGCCCCTGCACAGTTACCAGCCGTCAGCTGCGTAGAAAAAGATCCTGGAGTAGAAAGTAATATTAAATAAATTCTAACAACAGCTTATCAAGCTTAAACGTGCTGCTGTTCTTTAGCTGCTGGTTTCCTCTTTCTGGCGCAAAGTGGGCCAAAAACAAACAAGAGACAGGAGTGGCAACAGAAAAGCCGATCAGCTGATCATTGATCAGTTTCATGATTGAAGTAGCAACAGGAGAGGGAGGGGGAGAGAAGGCTAAAATGCTTTACAAACATTCAAAGATGAACTTACACACTTGCTTTACTTCTCTCTGGGTTAACTTTCTCGGAGATGAAATGCCGGTTTGGTAGCGACTGCCGAGAGGTCTCGCACGCCACAGCTGCTCTATCACGTGACACATACTGCCCCAACATGCTAGGGTCATGAGCTGAGTTACGCCGTGTCGCAAGCAATGACCTTTTCTACAGTCATTGGTTGCAAGTTTTGTGAGGTGCTTTTGAGATATTTAATGAATCTGATTACATTTTTTATCTCTCTCCGATATCCAATCCAGTAATTTAGGTCAGTATCGGACCGATACGTAATATCGGATCGGTCCATCCCTAGTTGTTGGGATGGGGCAGCTGTGGTTAAGGAGGTACAGGGATGTGTTTGCTAATTGGAAGGTTGGGGGTAACTAGATCCTCCAGTCAGTCGAAGTGCTGCTGGTCAGGATGCTGAACCTCAAAACTGCCAATCAGAGAGTGTGTGTAAGATGAAAATGCACTGCTCAAAAATGTTAAAGGAATACTTTGAAAACACATCAAACGTCCATGGGGAAAATCTACACTTGTACAGACTGGATAATGTGTTAGGAAGAAAAAGATGCCATGTTGTTTGATAGAAATAAGAAGTATCAAGCTACAGAGCGCTAAGTTCAAAGAGTCCCCGAAAACTGAAGTGAAAAAATGATGTGTCAAGCTAGTCGGTTTTGCCAAAATTTCATTGCTGTAGCTTAAAATGGTACTGAGTAATTTGTGTGGCCCCCATGGGTTTGCATGCATGCCTGGGATTCTCCAAACTCTTTCACGTCTGTCACATGTGCTCAGGGTGAACCAGCACTCATCTGTGAAAAGCACAGCAGGCCAGTGTGCCAATTTTGGTATTCTATGGCCAATGCCAATCGTGCTTTACGGTGCTAGGCAGTAAGCTCAGGGCCCACTAGATGATGTTGGGCCCTCATGAAGTCTGTTTCAGCCACATGGTCAGAAACCCACATGGGTGGCCTGCTGGAGGTCATTGCTCTGGCAAGGCTAATTCTACTTGTCCTTGCATAAACAAGAAGAAACAGATCCTGCTGATGGGTTAAGGGCCTTCTACAGCCCGGTCCACCTCTCCTAGAGTAACTGTCTGTCTCATAGAATCTCTTTCATGCTCTTGACACTGTGCTGGGAGACAAAAAAAACATCTGGCAATGGCACGTATTGATGTGCCATCCTGCAAGAGTTAGAACTGCAGTGCAACCACTGTAGGGTCCAGGTATCACATAGTACCAGTAGTGACACCTTGAAAAATGCAAAACAAATGGAAAAAAACTAAGAGAAGATGAGGAGGGGAAAAATTGTTTTGGGGGTTGTCTAATTGTTGCCCCACTGGTAATGCCTCTTGGTAATTTCACGAACTCTAAAGCAGCTGAAACTAATTAACAACCCCCTCTGCCACTTCACTGACCAGATCAATAACACATAATTTAATTGACTTCAAGTGCTAGAGCAGAAAAGTACTGTAAGTCTTATTTGTTTATTTTAATCGAATTTTCTTTAAGGCAAAAATTCCTCTTTCTCTTATCACTTCCCATAATAGTATGTAATCCTTTTTGTTCAGACAGAACCTAATATCAATGCGATTATGACTCAAGAACAAACACAGATGTCATGCATGATGGCTGATCAATAGAACACTAAATCTAGGACCAGTCATGATTTCCTGACAGGAATATTGGGACATTTTCTTTCTTTTGAGGTTTCTACAATGGTTCTGTTTTGAGTGGGGGTTTTTTGTTTGCTTCTTCTTCTTCTTTTTTTTTCTTCTTTTCTTTCTTTCTCTTTTTTTTAATAAAACCAGTCAGCAGTGTACAGCTGTAAACAAAGCAAACGAGAATCATGGTGCCAGTATAGTTGGGTGAAACTGTGGAATGAAGGAACAACAGTCAGACAGTATCATACAAATACTTCAGTTGGACTTGCTTGTTGACGTTTTACTGTCCCTTTTTCCCCACTGGAAATCGCCAAGAAATATGACGTACATCTTTGGTCGGATTGTGTGATTGTGTTTCCAAACCCAACACAACAATAGAGGGTTTATTGCACAAGAATAGTGGGAACGTGTCTAGTGCCCTGAAGCCATCAGGAGACAGCTGTTTGAATGCTTTGTTACAAAGGAGATTACATCACCTGTCAGTAGGCAACAGGTCAAATATCAACAGTCAATCTGACAACCAGCAAGAAGAAAGCATTGACAGTCAGTGGAACAAAGGCACACTTAGTCACCAAAGTGTAAGCTGACGACAGTCCGGGACCTGGATGTTAAGTGTTAAGGATAAAAAAGCTTGATGCCCTTTATGACAATGCATTACTTTACACTCAACATTTTTCCACTTCATATAATTACTGTTACTATTTAACACTTGCTGTCTGCACCTGCCAAGGAGAACGGTTCTTAATGCAAATGTTCAGCATGTTAGTAATGATCTCTGGGTAACACAGACACACCCGATGAGCCTGTCACTTGTAGTTGGACTTCAAACAATCTGATCTTTGATTTTTCTCCAAATTGCACTAGGAATCCCTTTTCCCCTGCAGTTTCACATTTATTAAAATGTGTGTATGTCCTTCAGGTTTCTGTATCAGGGTGGCTGTGGCTCAGAAGGTTGAGTAAGTCACGTACAGACCTGAAAAATTTGGGGCATTTTCACCTTTATTGGATAGTGGAGCAGCGAACACACTGCTGCACTCTGGTCATGTGGCAGATGATCACTTGCTCATCCATTAAGCTAAACTGGCACCACAATGTCAATATTTTATAAAAAATAAAATAAAATAAAAATAATGATAATAAAAAAACTCTGGGGAAACAATGAAGAAGAGGACTCATCTCGAGCAGAAAACATTAGCTAAGCAAACTTCAACTCAACCAAAAAGCAATCCAACACTGGATAGCTAAAGTTTAATTAAGTTAAACTCAAATACTACATATTAATTCAGAGCACGCCAACAGCTCAGTAACATGGGTAAAAAGCATCCTCCTTGCCTCTGATTGGTGAGTGTGTTGAATTTTTTTCACATTCTGTAGCTGACTGCAACTTGTGGTGACTAAATGGTTGCTCAGAGCTTGAGGGTGTTGCACACTCACGAGCATCTTTGATCACAAGCTGATTGCACCTAAAGGGAATGCAACCTTTGTGCAAACAGTCACAGTCTGACTTGGACTGACTGCAGTCGCTCTCAGAGAGATTTTTGCAGGTTTGCAAATAACTGCTTTCTAATTCATAAATGCAGGCAGATTGCCAGCATGTAGCCACCATCAGTCTGAATGAGTCTTTGTCAATGAGCAAATTGACTACTGTGTTGCACGCACTCGGTCACTTGACATATCTTGGCTGAAAACATTTATTTGTTTGCATAATGACACATTCACTTGTTTACGACGGGCCGCTGAAGGTAGAAAAAAAAATACAGGGCAGGTGTATTTAAATACAGCCCGTCTCTTTGTGCAAAGAGGCGGGTTCAAGCAAACCCGTCTCCTTGCACAACAGGTTTGCTTTGCCAACATTAGATGACCCAAGTAAATTTTACTTTTATAGTGGCACCAAATAACTACTCATGATTTTACCTCAGAATCAGCACATTATCATAAGCATCCAGACTTTGAAGAAACGATGTTAGGAAATGGGTCTATCCAGAAGACAACACACCGATTTAGATGAGGTGATGTCATTTGTGCATAAAGAACTACAGCACAATGGACAGAGTCAAGGATAACGCTGGACACCTTTGAGCTATTCAAATGGGATATGTGGTGCAGCGGGTCAATCCAACAGATTATTAAGCAATAAAGGGCCAAATGCTATTTGGCACATGGATTCTTGCGCTAAATTGAAACCTTATGGTATAGAGATTAATGGAAGCACTGATGGTTTCAATAATTTTTGGTATGGATGGAAGCATCAGCAACAAATTACGACCCCAAGGTTGTTGTTGCGGGGAGATTTTTTTTTTTGTTGTAAATACACCACTTTATAGTTTTCAAAGGTGTGAAAATGACGCTTGTAGTTACTGATCTGTTCTTGACGTTGGTCCCCAGGCTGATCTGGTCAAAAAGGATCTTTTGTTGGTTATTTCCTTTATGATGATACACACTACAGAATCAGATATCACCATTTTTATCTATTGCAAAGCTGCTGTATTGAGTGTCTTTCCCCTATACACTTAAATGTACATGACACAAACTGCGCAGACTACGAGACAGACCACAGATTATACTGTCAGATACACAGCTACATCTCGTAACACAACAGAGGTATGTAAACACCAGAATTCCTCATCCTACCAGGCAGCGACTGAATATAAATTCAACACCAAGCCTCAGACTGGTAAAGTGCTTTTATCAGTTCAGTTCCTGCTATTCCTCTAAATCCCCTCAGAGCATTACCAGGCTGCTTTAATGACACACAGGAAAAAAGAAGCCACACATCCTTTAGAAAACTACCTCCCTTTAACATATGGTAGCAATCAGCCAACCCTTCATGGGTGAATATCAATACCCTCGAGTGTCCACAAATGGCATAAAAATAGCGCTGTGGTTTACGCTTGTTGTGTTTTTGAAATACTTTCTTGCTGTGTGAGAGTTTCTGTGAAGGTCTGCAGCCAGTACCGTGTTACGGAGAAGCTCCATGTAGCCTTTAAGCTGCTGGACGGCATCTCCTGTCCCATCTCTCTGCAGGCACTCTCCAGGAAATGTCCACTGACTTATCAGCCCATCCTGAGCCTCCAGTTGTTTTGGCAGCTGTAAACACAAAGAATTACGTTATGTAACATTAACAGTGTTTACAAGACGGGGCAATGATCACTTCTGCAGTAAATTTTTGGTTCTTTTCTACCAACAGCTGTATATAATTAACCATTCGATATTAGCAACGTGACTTCTCAGACCAAGGAGTTAGTGACTATGTTGTCAGCATAAAACACATTTTTTGTTTATAAAATGGACACAAGTCGCAGGAAAATTGAAAACTGTTAACTAAGATAATACATTCTTAAAGTTACGCTGTGTAAAATTTTCACTGTTGGATTAGGTATATTGCAGATTGCAGTCAACCGAGGTTTGTTTTCTTATTCCTCCCAATTCAAATTAATTCAATTTTATTTATATAGCGCCAAATTACATCAACAGTGGCCTCAAGGTGCATTATTACTGTATATTACTGCTCTTATTGTATATCTTATTCATCTGTTCCTCTGTCTCTCCTGCTGCTTTGAGCATGTACATGACAAAAGAATTTCCCTCGGGATAAATAAAGTTATTCTTATTCTTATTAATCTTATTCTTATATTGTAAGGTGCACCCTACAATAATACATACAGACAAAAACCCAACAATCATATAACGCCCTATGAGCAAGCACTTTGGCGACAGTGGGAAGGAAAAACTCCCTTTTAACAGGAAGAAACCTCCGGCAGAACCAGGCTCAGGGTGGGGCGGCCATTTGCCGTGACCGCTTGGGGAGAGAGAAGGCACACAGAATAACTACAGTGCATACTCCTAGCTACGGTGGCTGCTGTAGGACAAATAAGTTTTAGTTAGCAAGACAGGTTAAAAAAAATAAAATTACATAGACTGTACCCGGTAACGGGCACGGCCAGCCAGCCTGTTTCTACTAGTAAGTAAGTAAACTTTATTTATACGGCACCTTTCACAGGTCAAAAACCACAAAGTCCTTTGTAATAAAAACAGGCAAAAACAACAACAAAACAAAACACTGGATGCAGAGCCACCTTGGAGGTTTTCCCCATCTGTAGAAGGCCCTTCTCTGAAAATAAAACAGGTATGATGCTTCATGTCTTGAGTCTGAAGATCCAGGAACAAATATTAATGTCCTTTCAGGGCACACTAAGGCCTGAGACGTCTCTACTTCTCTGCTTTTGACACAATACTTATGTGGCCGGTCTCTAGCCCCAAATGTAAAACACCGTGGGTAAGAAGGAAAATGTCATATGGGAAATGCCCACTTTTATGTATTTTTTATTGATTAATTATATGTTTATGAGAACGCATCAAGTTGTTGGAAGGTGTATTTACACACAGTTCTAGTACAGTACAGTATCCTTTTTTTCTTTTAAATAACATACCTTTAACTATATGTGTGCCAGTCAAGCTTGCAGGAGTAGTCACACCCCAAAAACCCATTCTGCTGCTGCATTTTACATAATCACAATCTCAGTATTGCGCATAAGGAAACCTAGTTTTGGTCTATAGCCAATTTCCCCTTTACTTTTATGAGGGGCAAATTTGATAAGTAATTAATCTAAACTTCATCAGCAGTTAAAGTTATGTATTATTAGGACTGGCTGCTTTGAGGTACAGTCTGGAGGACTTAAGATATTTATCTAGCAAATACCATGCCATGACTAAGAACTCTGTTGCTATTCTTTGTGAGTGAAATTGTGCGGTTTATTACAAGTTTTTAGCACTAATTAGCAGGTAAGTGACATGGCAGGCAAACTACATACGCTTACCTGCCATTTCATGAGGTACAGCTGCTTGTTTAGAAAAATATCTCATCAGCCAATCACATGAAAGCAACTCAATGCACTTAGACATGATCAAGACGACCTGCTGAAGTCCAAAATAGGCATCAGAATGGGGAAGATTTAACAAACTTTGAAGGTGGCATAGTTTCTGGTAAAATGGTAAATGGCCTGTATTTATATAGCGCTTTACTAGTCCCTAAGGACCCCAAAGCACTTTACACATCCAGTCATCCACCCATTCACACACACATTCACACACTGGCGATGATGAACTCCCAACTCTTGAGCCACGATCGCCCACAGGCTGGTGTAAGTATTTCAGAAACTGATGATCTGTTGGGATTTTCTCACAGAACCATCTCTTGGATTAACAGACACTGATCGCTGGGTGAAAAATGCTTTGTTGATGTCAGAGGAAAATGGCCAGACTCCTTCGAACAGTAACTTTAATAACCACTCGTTACAAGCATGAGATGTGAAAGTGTATCTCTGAACGCACAACATGTTGAATCTCAAAGCAGCCAATTATCACCGTAATCAGCACTAACATAGTACCCCAGTCACATGGGATCCCCTGGTAAATCCTTGTGACTTCCAGGAACTGCTAAATGACTGAAATTCAGATTGTCATTTGGTTTTTATTGGGGAATAGCAATTTTTCCTTAGCAACCAATAGTTGTCATGGAGTCGCCAACCTGCGCCTGTGTGACTGAGGTTTACGGTACATGGTACTTTTCTAGTTCCTCTTTTCCACTGCTGCTGTGCCCAGTGTAAAGTCAGTTCTGTTTTGTTGCCTTTGGAGAACGGCCTCTCACACAAACAGGTCTGAACAGTTGCACAGAGCATGGCGGGTGGACAAAATGTGGAAGCTGCAATTTCTTACAGCAATTGCTGACAGCAGTGGTTTCAACTCTTGGCAATGCTGGGGCTGGTTTCAGCATGAGCTCTGAACGATAAGATGCAGAAGTGAAAATTTACCATGATGACGTCCTCATTCTGCAGCCACGCAGGCAACTGGGTGCTGTGGGACAACACTTGGAACAGCGTGGCTCTGAGGGCACAGTAGTTGTCCCCCCTGACTCTTCGTACGCTGGCAAAGCTCTGGGACATCTCCTTATAACCCTGCACCAACACACGGGGACATTAGAGGAAACATCCTAGCCATTAATGTAAAAATAAATAAATAAGAACTGGCTTTAACCTGAAATGATTCTTCTGAGAAACTTCAGGCACCAACCTTTTTAATGAGAGCGCTTTTAAGAGTATTTCCCTTCCACTCCCTCTCACTGTACAACAGAATATTCACCACCGGTGACAAACTGCATCTGTCCTCCACCTTTAAAACTGAGCGAGGGATAGCAGAGAAAGGTGAGACGATGGGCAGAACAAAAAGACTATTGTCCAGATTTCAAATGACAGACAAAAGCTGCACTTGTTGAAAATCACTGATGCAATAGAAGCGGAGGATGTACTGACGTTTTGTCTCCAGCTCGGGCTGTGACGCAGACAGCTCCTCTTCGCCTCTGTACAAATCTTCTTCACTATGATAAAACAGAAACACTTATTTTTAATCAAACAACAAGTTATTTTTGTGTATCCAAAGCCTGGTCCTGGATCTCCATATCGAGCAATTTTAAGTCAATGCCAACTGGGACAGGGACAACTTAATCTCACTAAAAATACTCACACTTCAAATGTGTAAGTCCAGATTTCATTTTTCTGTGACATTTGCAAAAAAATAAAAAATAAATAAACATAAACTTGACTATAAATAATAAACACATAATTTGTGTGTATTTTGCTACATTTTTGTCTCATAATCCCATCTGTTTCTTGGGTAAAAGTGGTTTTACCTCCTTTATTCTTTCAACAGATGCTGTGATTCAATTCAGGACTATAAAGTGAACAGAGGGGATCTTTACAGACCTGTCTTCCTTCTCTGTGGTGTCAGCCATAACATTCTTGGTTGCGCTCTCTGCCAGCTGCTCCTTTTTTCCTGTAACCTCCTCGCTTTCAGCATCTTTCACAGGTTCAGTCTCGGCCTCAGTTGGCCTCTCCTCTTTTATCTCTTCATCGTTCCGCTTGACCTTGGGGAGATCTTCATCGTTATCCTGCACTAACATTGGTTCCTGCTTGGTTTTCTCCACAGACACGACCTCCTCTGACATTGTAGGTGTATGCTCCGCATCTGACCTTTTATCTTCATCTAACGGCAAGCTGAAAAGAAAATGCATGTTTTGTGTATAAAGCCAAGTTTACCATTCATGTCTTAAACTCAAACTTGCAAATGTGCAACTTAAGTTGTATTTAGAAATGTAAAGCACACATTTAGCTGTAGGAAAACTGCAGGTATGAGGAGGGCTGACTGTCATAGAAGATGCAATGGTAAGAGTTCGCCCCCTAGTGGCCACAGTGCCACTCTGCCGCCACAAGTCCAGAGTTCACGTAAACAAATACCTTGTTTGTTTTGTTATTGCAAACTCTGAACCCACTGGCCTCTCTCTGGCGTCCGCTGGAGCTGTGGTTTCTGGCTCCTTCACTGAGCTGGCAGAGTCCTGTCCCTCACCGCTGTGGTCGAGTTCCGTGGGCTCCAATCCAGAAGACAACTGGGAGACATCATGGCTTTTTGGGTCTTCAAGACTGGGCTCCCTGCTATTTGAATCATCTGTCCCGGCACTGAGCAGATAGCAATAAGAAAGGTAAAAAAAATAAATAGACTATTGCTTGCACAAATGTAAAAGCAAGTGATTACACAACAGTCGTACATGTGTAATAATGTTCAGTAATAAAGCTATCCATAGAAGCCCTTATCACCTCATGTCATACTTGAAAAACCAAAAGTAGTAAGTCAAGGCCTATAGAGCGTTAACAGCATGGTCATAAAACGGCCCTGATCAGTGATTCTGCAACAGTTTGATGGTCTAATGCAACCACAGATCTAAAAAGAAAAAACGGAGGTTAATGATTTAAAGGGATGGTGAACTTGGGACAAGAAGCAAACAAAGAAAGAAAAGAGACACGGGATGCATGCCATGTCACATTTTAAACAGCTGTACTCCTCATTATGGTTCAACCTTTTTATCTGTGTTGGGAATAAATTGCATACTGGAAAGTGACTTATGGAGGGGACACACAATATAGGTGATGTATATACACAGGCGGGGTGTTTTTTTTGGGTTTTCATGCTTAGATATAATGTTAAAAAACAAAAAGATAACTTTTGGAAATACTTATAGATTAGATTCTGCATTGTTAAAGATAATTTCATACATACAAAAATGTATGGATCTACTCAGTATCAAACACAAGGCATCCGCATTTCACAAATTATTTAATAGCATACAAACAGATGGCAGAGGGACCTTGGCTGTCCAAATAATGATGATGGATGGTTAAAGATACTGTCACATAATAGGAAACATTAAAGAGTCATTATAAGATAGTACTAGGGCTGGGCCATATTATACCGTTCACGGTAATACCGGTATAATGTTAGGCAACGATAGGAAAATGAAATATCGCGATAGAATGGGAGTAAAACGCGCATGCGCAGTGCCTTTGTTTTCATACGCACATGGCCGATTGTTGAGTGAAACAGATGAACCAGAATTGGTTTGTAAAAATGGTGCAACTTCCGTGATGTGGAACTGGTTTGGTGTTTGTCCGTCAGATACACAACAAAGCACATTTTTTGCAGAACATGCAAGCGGCCGTTGTTATTGTCGTATTTGTCGGACTAAGATGCTCTTAAATCTGGGAGTAATCTGGGTCCTAAACTCCGTATACTTCAGGTCAAACAACACTGCAGCATCACTTAGAGTTAAAAACTGTCTAAATTCTTTCATCTTTAATAAAACGATCAGCATTGCTGCTTTACCAGGTGTAACTATAAAGTTTAACTTCCAGGCATCCATGAAAACAAAAGTTATTATATTTAACGGAGTTAGAAGTTAGCAGGAAGCTAGCGGAAGTTAGCTCGCTAGTTTCGCTAGTTACCTAAGCATGATATTGCATGTTCTGACTGAGAGATTTCTGAAAAAAATCAAACGTACAGCTCTGCTATCACTTCCAACATAAATGAAGACAGGAAAGTAAACAGCAGTGACGTTTGTAGGGTTACTGAAGTTGGGCTAGCTGGTATATAATGATGTGCTACGTGATTGCTAGCGACACAGCTATGTTAGCATAACATAAACAGTGAAGCTGGAGGACGAACACTAACACTTTTCCACTTATAAAAGTTAACGTGAAGGTTCTTCATGGTTAGAGACAAATGCAATCGCATGGCAGGATGCTGTAAACGGACCAAACTTCAGTCAGGAGAACAACTGAGATAATCCATCCACAATACGAGGTTAGTCATTAATATACTGCAACAACATGGGAATAGAGCAGCTGCCAGAGAATTCAACATTAATGAATCAATGGTACAGAAGTGGAGGAAGCAAGAAGAATGAGTTTAATAAAGTTTGATTTATCTGACTGCTTTGTTTCGCTTAATGTGCCTTATAATCCTGTGCACCTTATGGTCCGAAAAATACGTAATGCACACTGCAGTTTAATGTTGCAAAGCACCTCTTTTTAACTTCAGTGGATATTATACATGGTTATGCTCAGGATATGTCAGCCCATTTCTACTGGAAATGCCTTTTGGTTAAACTTTCAGCAAGGAATTTGCATTTGCACTGTTACATTTTTATAAAGCTTTAATGTACATAAAAACCAGCTTCTTAAGTGAAAATAAATGGAAGGTTGTCTTTTTGCGCTAGTAATGTTGTGAAGTTGTATTTTGTCTCGCATCAATTATATCGTCGGTTATATCGTTATCGCAAATTTTCAAATATATATCGTGATAAATATTTTTGGCCATATCGCCCTGCTCTAGATAGTACAGTTTTTTTACTCCATCTAGCCTTTGTAGAACGGGTCTACTTACCAATTATTTATGTTGGAAATGTCAAGCAGAACCAGGAACCTTTATACATGCGATCTGGGACTGTAAATACGTTTCCCCATTTTGGAAAATAGAATTATAACACATAAGAATGTGCATGGTGATACCCATGTCACCAAGACTATGCCTATTGGGGGAATCGGACAATAATACCTAATATTAAAACACCAAAATACAGTGATACAGTTGGGAGTGGTCACAGATTATACAGATTATGTAATACAACTTCTGCTCCGGACATTAAAAACTGGTTGGAATTCATGCTGGAGAAAGTGTCATATGAACACCTGCTGGCCAAGCTAAATAACAATACAGAGAACTTCAAGAAATCCTGGGACTGCTCTTGTACCACCGGGACGATCAGATTCATGAATGGTATGGTAAGCGCCGACTTGGCTGCTTTACGTTTAAGATTTGTTATTCCTTTGGTTGTTATAAAACAAATAAAAACTTGAACGACAAAAAAGAAAGAAAAGAATTTAGCAGCTGTCCAAACCAGACACAGATGTGATTAGAAAATGTTACAATCCTCTAGAAACAATAAGACAGTCTTCTGTCTTTAAACCATTTTTAAGGAGGCCAAGCTGTTTCATCTGGATTATTATAATTGAGTAAACCACCAAAGTAAGACTGCAGCAAGCAGCATTGGGAGTCACAGAGTAACTCACAATACTATCACAGTACTTTGATCCCCAGTGATTCTACAATACTTTATATATTGCAAGACATATGTGTAACAATACATCAGAAGAAAAAAATACCAGCGGTTGTCTGTGCTACCCTCAGCCTCCTAGTAAATGCACCTATGGTATAAATTTGAAAAATCTGAAAAGTTGATCTCTGACTCCGATGTCCGGGATTCACACTCGTCTGAGATTTAAGTAGCATCTGTGGTATCAGTTTTGAAATACTATGTTGCCTCGTTCTCCAGTTATTGCATTCATAAACTTTCGTGTCCACACTTCACAGCTACCTGCCTGCCTGGCAGGGTGATCTCAATACCCCATCAGCTTTTCAGAGCTGAGAGGAGTAACCATCTGTTTATTCACTGTAATATATATAATGATAATATTCACTCTAAACAGTGTGTTAATTCAAGTAAAGAGCTTTGTACTTTGTCTGCCTTCTTCTTCACTACAACTCCTAATCACTTGGAGGCTGTGTTCAGGTGGTAGTACAGTACTACTAATTGGGAGGTTTGTGGACTGCATGCTAAAGTATCCTTGGGCAAAACACTCAACCACACGTTGATCCTGATACATCTTCTGGAGTGTGAATGTGCATGAATGGGTTATGAGACATGTTGTATAAACTGCTTTCTTAGTGCTCAAGTAGAAAAGGGCTATATAAAAACCAGTCACTTAGTTTACCCTCAATCGTTACCTCCAAAGGAGCAGTTCAGTTTGTCTTTCTGTTGCAGGATTACTCAAAAAGACTTTGGCGTATTTGAAAGAAAATATAAACAGAGGTGTTTTTTTGCCCCCCAACTTGGAAGCGATTAACTTTTGGAACTGATCCCAATCTCGATCCAGGGATTTCACCACTGCTAGGTGGGACAAAATTGGACACTTGACATCACAATTCATATCAAACTAAAAATTTAAAAAAGAATAAACAAACTAATCTGCTTGGTATGAGAGGAATTTACAGCATTGGCAGAGCTATATCATCTTGAACCCAGAGTCATAAAGCAGATCCTCCGGTAAGTCAAGTTGTTGACAGACGTTTAGAGCAGCTTCCTGTTTTAGCAAAACGAACTACATTTGGCAGCAATGTATCAACACCTGTATGGCAAAGGGAAGTGATACAATACACATATCAATGTGTCCAACCACTAAAAGCAAAATAAATGTTTGGTGTTGCCGAAACTTGATTAAACAACCACCACGTGTAGAAGAACGTGTCGCATTTGTGTCACAATATTTTAATTTTAGACACTGGAGCTGTTAGAAGGAGTCTTACAGTATTTGACATTATACAGGTGCTAAGATATTGTGGTACTTTTAAGTAAGGCGTTATATTTTTAATGCAGGAAATGTCATGGTAAAACGAGCACACAACAAAGAAAGAAGCGCTTTAAGAAGTTCATATTTTCTTCTAAAAGAAATACAGACAACATATGACATTGAACTGCACTGGAACTTTCTATCCAGCTCTTCAGAATAAATATTAAAATCATTATAAAAGGGAAGCTAAATTCTAAGCTTACAGGTTCATTTCATGTAACTCACCATGTCAGAGGCTCAGGTTCAGGTTCCTGCTTTCCCACAGACACAGACGACAGCTGGGCTGCCGGGGCAGCTGCAGCCAACAGCATGTTTGACACTGATGACACTTGGTGATTTTCAGAAAACTCCCCTGATGGTTTAGCTGCAGCTTCAACAGTCACTTTTTCTTCTTTGTCATGATGAGTTGTGCTCGCTGCAGTTTGCTCTACTGTTGTGTTTGTCTCAGTATGCGGAGTTTTTTCAAAGCAGACCACCTCAGGTGTCAGAGAGGTGCCATCTGGGATTTTGTATTGCGTGGGGGGGTTTTCTTCTATCTCTGGTGCTTTTAAAACCTCAGAATCCGCCTTGGCGTGCTCATCCTGGACAGACCCCAAAGCGCACTGCATTGGAAGTTGACGACTGTGAGCAGGAGATTCCTCTGTATCTTGTACTCCGGTGGCGTTTTCTTCAGACATGTTGCAGGGCGGAGGCATCTCTATTTGAATGACTTCCTGCTTCAAGGGTCCATTTTCCTGAGTGTTATTAGGCTCCTGCTCTCCGGTCTCAGGACTCATCTTCCGCTCCTCAACCCTAAGTGACAACACAGTATTCATTAGCAATGCAACAGAGCCTCGGCTACACCCTTTTCATGCCCAGAAAAACAATGTTTTGTGACCAAAGATAAGACACTGTTGAAATGTTTCAGGATTCCTTCAACCCTGTAGGTGGAGAGGAAGCAGATAACCTTTGTTCAAAACATTATCTCTTTGATTACCAGTTAGTTCATGAAATGACAAATGTTTTGACTTCCACAAACACTTTAAGACCTTTGGAAGTCCCCCTCACCCTGTTTCTGATCTCAGTACTCTGTTTTGTGCTGTCATTGGGTCACATGGTGCATCCTACACAACCCACAGGGGAAAATCTAATCATCATTTTGTTTTCACCCATTTTCCAGCATTTAATGCTGCTTTTGTGACCACAGATGCAGGTACTGTCTGCGTGTTTTAGATGCTTAAATCCAATATTACCGCAAACTCCAAAGCTTTCTTCAAGCGTTTAAAAGTCTCAGCTGAAAGTGTTCTGAGTCAGCTCTAAAATTGTTTGTGGTCTGCTGCTTATGGAGGAACCTGAGAAACGAAACACTGCTGGGAAATCCTGTGAAAGTGTGTCTGTTGTACCAGATTAGGTCACCAAGTCTTATTAGCACCCAGCACCCTTCACACACTCACTTTGAGTTTCCTTGTCTGTGTTTTCCCAGTCATCTCACCTCATGCAATCATCTCCTTCAGGACCGCAATTGCCAGCCACAGCTTTACAGCCTGTGAACTGGGTGGCCTTCGAGTCACTGGTCAGCAAACCGCTTCTTTCCTCCAAACTGCCGCAGGGACTTTCATGGCGACAACAGCACCAGTTCCCCATCTGCTCGCTCCCTCAGCCTGGGAGGTCGGACAGGCTGTAGGCTGAAGAGGCCTCTGGTCCAAAGCAACCACAAGCGACCTGGCGAGTCGCCGAAGCCTGAAGATTTCAGGACTCCATGATGACGACGGAGGGATAAGCTGCTGCTAACGCAAGGGAGAAACCATGTTTATGTCCTATAAAAAGTGTGTTGACAGCTAAAAGCACAGAATGAGTGATCAACACACTGACTGTGATCTAACACGTTACAGTTTGTTATGTAACAAGTTCCTGCTACTGTAATTACACAATGTGTTGTATTTAATAAAATACAATATTTTGGTACATGCAGATTTTGTCCATTATGAAGGATAAAGCTTTTATGTTCAACGGGGATTCATTTTCTCAAACACGATAAATATTTTGTTTTTCAAACATCCAGGAAACACAACAACACACAGATTTCTGTTGAATAAGGCAACAAAGACTTATTGTATTTACTGTAGGTGGACCTGAAAGGTCACATCCAACATGGAAAAACCCTGAGATATAACCAAACATGATTACCCACAGTATTCATGTTTACATGCATAAACTATATGGAAAAGCTCAAGACTCCTTAAATGTTGCCCAATGAGGCAAAAAAGACAGCACCCAGCCAGACTGTGATAAAAATAAATAAATGAACAACAACTCTTATTTTTTTAAGTGAGGTTTAATTTACTGTTGTTTATAAAATCACCAAAGATATTAGGAAAATGAATAAGCCAGTCTTTCCTAAGGTAACAGACTATTTGCTAATTATATCTGAACCAATGAGTGTGCTCCTAAAGGCCCCCACTGAGCCAAGAAAAAGACCCAGAATTATCCCCTGACTGATGAATTTGTTGACAGATATTATTAGGTCAATTGCAGCTATATTGTTACGTCGCATAAAGAAGTTAAAATAAATTCATCATGAGCACAAATGTCATGATGATTTTTGGCTTTTAATGATCTTTATGACTTAAAAAAATACAAACAAGAATTGGATGTACAAGTTTGAATTTATTTGGGATTTTCTTTCTTTTTTTTTCTTTTAAATTGGCAAGGCCAAAGCCCATTAACTTCTGGTTAATGATCATGACTGACTACAATCAGTAGTTTCTCTTTGTCATCATAAAGAGGATTTGTTTGACAGCACTCATTGAGCTGACCTATACGCTGAACAACAGGAAAGTCCAAGGAACTGAAGGTCTCTTGAAGCCATTTCTAAACAACCGCAGATTCCAAGATCATCACTTCAACCAGTTGTACATAAGTACCAGTTATTCAGATATGTCACCATTTTGCCAAGATCTGGAAGACGACCCAAACAGACTCCCTCGGATGAGGGGGAATTGATTTGGATGTTCAGGAACCACGAAGGCTCAAGCCTGTCATGAACTGGAAATTGCTGAAATACCAGCATCATTCTCCACCGTGAAGAGTTTTAAATCGCCATGGACTAAGATGTTGCCGTCCAAGAAAGAAGCTCCTGCTCCAAAATTGACACTTTCAAGCTTGAATGAAATTTGCAACTGCCACGTAGACAAGCCAAAAGCCTTCTGGATACATGTTTGATGGCCAGGCGAGCTAGGGATTGAGTATTTCTCCACAATGACAAGAGGTATGTGTGGAGGAGTAAAAGCGAAGCTTCCAGCTGTCAAGCATGGCAGTGATAGTATCACGCTCTGGGCTGTTTTCGTGTCAGTGGTAAATTGCACAAACTGAATGGAATTATGAAGTAGGATGACTACCTCCAAATTCTTCAACTCTACCTCAGATCAAAAACTAGACGGTTGAAACTTGGACACAAGTCGGATGCTCCAGCAGGACAATGATCCCAAACATACATTTAGATAGGAAAAAGCAGGCTAACATTAAACTTCCTGAACGGGCTTCCCAAATCCCTCATCTCCATCCTATTTGTGGACTACAACAGGTCTATGCCAGGAAACCAACAAATTTAAAAGAACTCTACAAATTCTGGCAAGAGCAGAGTTCACAAATCAAGCCAGAATTAAGTCAAACGATTGTTCGTGGCCACCAAAAAGATCTGCTTAAGGTGCCACTTGTTAAGGGACAGTTTACCAAATATCAATGCATATATTTGAGGCTGAATGTATACTTTTGAGCACCCGATTCTTGGGTTGTTGTTTTTTTTTTTTGCACAATCATTCCACCTTGGAAAAAGAAATCATTAAAAGCTCAGATTTAACGTGACATTTATGCACATGATGAGGGCATGCAAACCTCTGACCATAACTCCGTGTTGTCCAGTATGTGTAAACACTTTCTTTTCTTGCAGAAATAGATGTTTGTTATCATTTAGAAGTGATGTGATCCAACAGTGTGCCCCTAAGACCAATGTCCACAGCTGGGGTGCACAGTCATGGCATGTCTTCAAGCTAATCAATAACATATAACATAAAAGAATAACACACATATTGATGTGGGATTCTCTATACTCACTAGAGATTGAATATCATTCAGTATATAATTCAGTCCGACTGAAAATCATTCGGACTACAGACTGAATACATTACAGTATGGAAACGTGTGATCCTCATACAAAAACACCTTTTGGCAGCCTGTGATGAAGCACAGTAAAACAATGCAGTGGCAGTATGGCTAAAAACTCCTGTCGCGAGGGCATTTCCCTCTTCTTCTTTTTTTTTTTAAACCACACGACTTTATTAAATGAACACAGCTACACCTGTCAAACACGGCAAAGTAACATTAATAATAACGGCTGCACACTTCTTAGCTGGTACAAATAAAAGACAAGGTCAGGTCGTGAAAACACACCTTGTTTTGGCTGTGCTGAAGTCAAACTCCTGGAGCTTTCAGTCTCGTTCCTGTTTCACTTTTGGTGAGCTGACGAGCTAGCCAGCTAGCTGCGGTAAACTTAAAATACAAGCATGCGTTCCCGGAGAGTAACTGGCGCTCACTGAAAACGCTGCTGCCGCGGTGGGTAGCTCTTCCTACGACTGCGCCGTTATCGCTTAATGCGGCACATTTCATAGGAAAGCGGGTTTTCGGAGCGTTTGACGCGGACCATCTGTTGGTACGAACCACCTTAGCTTAGCAGGAGCAGCGGGTCACGGCTTGGTCCGAGCGCATGACGTCATGCTCGTGTGCGCCGAGAGTTCTTTTTTGATGCATTCAGGTGAAAGTAGCAATTTCGGAACACTTGTGCAAATCGGTTTTTTAGTCTTCACTCATCAAAACGTTTGACAGAAAATTAACGTTTTAAGTCTTTCAAGCAGAAAGGCCAAACATTTACCGTTCATCGTGTTTAAATGGGAGTACGTGCTGCTTTTATTTTTTCATATCAAAGTCGATTTGATAAGGTTATGCTTTCGAACTACAGAGGCAGATGCAATTAAAGGCATCGCCGACAGCTCTCAGGACCAGAGTTGCTATGGTTTATATCTTATTAGTTTTTATGTTTATTTCCTTTTGGCTTTTTGTTTTTAATTGATTTAAATTTCACTTCAGTCTTTAATTGTTTGAAAACGTTTTATAAGACAAAAACCTTTTTTTTAACTCATACATACAGACACACACACACACACATATATATATACACACACACACATATACACATATACATATATATATATATGTAGACCTCCAACAAAAATGGAAGTCAATACTGATGGCTCTATCGCTGTCATTTCATTTGCTAAGACATTTTAGGATACTGAAAGTTAACTGAATTATTTCCTAAAAACTGAGTTCTATAGACCAGCGGTCCCCAACCCCCGGGCCTCGGACCGGTACCGGGCCACGAGAGTTAAGGCTCAGGTGTGAAATGCATGGTTTTTATCGGTTTTCAGCATTATTTTGTCATCGTTTTTATCGTTAACTCGGTTTTCCTGGGTCTTTTCACGTGTGTTATGAATAAATCTTCATTTTTTCGGTACCGGTACTAGTTTTATTTTGTTGTATTTATCCGCAACACCTTAAAGGCCGGTCCATGAAAATATTGTCGGGCATAAACCGGTCCGTGGTGCAAAAAAGGTTGGGGACTACTGCTATAGACTATTCTCATTTTAGAGGCAACGATCCAAACATGCAGCAGGAAATTTCAGTTTATTTCCAAACACTTTAAAATACAAAAATCCATAAGTATATAAAACATTATATACATCTTCATGGTTTTTTTGTGAGAAAGATCTTCACACCAAGCCTATTTAGCGTCACAGTTTCAGTCATCACTCGAACCCTTTCAGTCACTACAGCTTCCTCACTTCCTCTATGTGGCCGATGAGCTCCTGTGGCATTCCCAGTTCTGACACCACGTCAACGCAGCACTGCAGGAGGAGGTGCAGCTCCTCAGTGGACCCCGAGCAGATCCTTTGTGGCCTGTGAGGAAAGTCCGAGTCCATTGTCTCTCCCTTCCTACAGCAGTCCGACTCTTCACAGTGCTGCTCGCAGCAGCCCCGGTCTGCCCGTTCCACCTCCAGGTCCTCCATGCTCTCGGAGACGTCGCTCACACTGGGCGGAGGATTCTCCAGAGCGTTCTTGATACCGTTCGCTATTCTGTCTTCATGCTGCGTGACCCTGTGCAGAAGGTCAGTCACAGAAGATGGGACGGGCTTTTCCGGATGCTGGATCTGGCACCAGCACCATATAGCGCTGCGAGACACAAAGAAACAACAGAGTCACATTCAATGGCACACAAAGGACACTTCAATGACAGTTGGTACAAAAGAGACTCGGGATGTTTCTGTGCAAGAATGAGGCTGAAACCTCTGAGAGGATTTCCATGTGGCATGAACGAGGACTTCTCAATTACAGAGATTTCAATGTGGATGCTGTCTGTTATATTTGATTGTTTATCCTTAATATATCCTTCATTGAGCAATTATTACAATCTCGTGATTTTTTAGAAACTGAGGGGGAAAAACATAAATAACACTTTGTAAAAATTTCTCATTGGACAGTTTCTATTGACAGGGACAATGACTGACTCTAAACTACATGATTATAGGCAGAGTCCATTCCTGTTGGTGCCTTATTGGCTACTTTATACACATCCTATTTGAGTCAAGCCCACCTTTTATCAAGTGTTCAGGCTGCTGCTGGTGTAACAGCGTGGGTCAGTTTCTTGGCACACTTTGGGCCTCTTAATACCAGCAACATTTAAATTGTTGTGTTTACCCAGCAGCATAACACACCATGCCACAAAGCTCAAATCACCTCAACTCTTTTTTTTTCTTGAATGTAACAGTGAGTTTAGGGTGAAAATTCCCTCCACAGAATTCATGAATTGAGTCCCTGTTCTTTTGATATTTTCGTGAGATCGTCAAGCCAGTCTCTGCCAATTTTTGTCATTTTAATTTAATGTTTATTTGTGCAATACTGGTGGATGGACTGATAGATGAGGTCAGGCAGGAGTCTCTGTAATGAGAGGAGGGAGATGGTGGAAGAGAACCTGGAGGTATGGTCTCTATCGTTTGATCAGGTGTGTAAACCACCCAATTATTAAAAAAAAGAAAAAAAAGAAATCCTTTTTAATTGTGTGTGGACAGCTACTGATACCGATACTTGACTTCAGGAGGTCACCAGTAAGTGGTGTGACAGTGACATATGATCACAACTTCAAGCCACTGTGTATGGGACAATACAGTTAATCAAACTTTTAACCAAAGTATAATTCGTTTCCACGAATTATAAAATAAGGCAACAAATTTAAAAAAAAATAAAAAATTTAAAGTCTGCAGACTCCAGGGTAGACCCAGAATACATTGGGCTGGACAGATTACATATCTGTCTGACCTAGGAATGCCTTAGATTCCCCCAGGAGGATCTGTGAATTGTGGCTGGGGACTAGGAGCTCTGGGATACCCTGCTTAGCCTACCTATCTACTCTCATTGCAACTCAACTTCGGATAAGAAGAAGACAATGGCTGGATGAGATACATGTGCAATCAAGGAGCCCAAACCATGTATATCATGAAGTTTTAAATAGACATGTGTATAACCCCTTTAAAATGATGTCACTTTAATATGTGACATCTTATTAGATGTTATCATGTTATTGTAAGGGTGACAAGTCACGTGCGGGGCAGATGTATGACGTTATTGATGGTTTACCTGACGATTCCTCTGAGTCGTCCCACAGCCACAGTCTGAGCTGCTCCCTCCTTGAAGCCCAGGCTGAATCCCACCGAAAGCGAGGCATCCTCAGCGGTATCAACTCCGTCCACATACCCGTCCTGAGAGAAAACATGAGCGAGTTAAACACAGGACAGCACACCACATCACAAAAACAAACACACAGGACGTTTAGCACGCAGAGCCGGTGTGAGTTAACATTTCAGGATCCGTTTTTGATGTGAGCTAACTTTACCCTCAGTCGCCTTTTCATGTTGGAGGTCCACTCCTTACTCTGTAAGCTAAGCTCGTCCGCACTCTCGTCGAAGACATCGTCTCCGCTCACAGGCAGAGCTTTAACCCAGGACATGACGATTTAAAAGCAAAAACACCGTTTTAAACGCACTAGCATGGAAGCTATCTCCTGCTTCTTCTTCTACGGCAAGCGCGCTTTATCCTCGATGGAAAACTGTATGTGCGTGCGCGCCACCCTCTGGCCTGGAGTACAAAAAGCCGTTAGTCAACGGCAGTGCTACCGATACCAATGCCGATACTTTTAATCTATAAAAGCGGCTTATGGGAGAGCAGTGTGTCATGATTTATGATGAGATAATCATCATCATTTTAATGACTGCTAAATCATTGTGATTTTTACTTTCTACAGTACTTACTTAACATAGTAAAACACACTTGTCAGATTTTCGTGTATCTTGAAGCTGGGTTATTTGGAGACCTAGAATGTAAATGTACCCATCCCTGAAGCACCTTGGTTCAGCTTGTATAGATTATCTACTATAGGCTATAAACAAAATACACATGAAAATCAACATAGAAAGGTTCAGACAACTTTCATAGTTTGTCTTTGCGGTATATGTATATTTTTCCAAAAGAAATAATTTAACATAATTCAATGAGCTAAATAGTAAGCTTACAGGATAGAAACAAAATATCAATCCTTTCACACTAATCTAATACCAATACCAGTGTTGGTATCAATGCTATCAATATCTGGATTAATCCGCCCGCCTCTTCTGGGAGTGCCAAACTAATTTTAGTTCATGGGCCAATGTGTGTCCAAATTCAGGAGCTGCGGGAGGAAATTAAAAAAAAAACAAAAACAAAAAACAGCACAATAACCTGTAAGAAAACAATAAAAAAAAGAAGTCTTTGTATATGTATTAATAGGAAAAAGTTTATTTGTCCATCTTGCAATAAAATGTCATGTCAGAAAGTGACACAGGTGATTGTGACATAAAGTAAAAAGTTAAAGTATATTGATCAAACTGGGCGTGATCTTAAAATTAAGAACTAAAAGTTAAAAAAACAAAAACAACAAAACACACAAAATTCCAAGATAATGAAAACTAATAATTAATAAATGTAAACAAAAAACAAAGAAAGGAAAAGTACAGCTTCCACACCTTGGATAGGTCACCAGTCTATCCCGAGCCAAATTACAGATAAGATGAATTATTCTGATCTCACATTCACGCTCTGCATAGTTACATCTTTGCTTTACTTGAAGTAAACAATTTGTGCAAAGGAACATTCTGAGCTTCTGCTTCACTGACAGCCTGTCTGTGATGGTTTGTATGCATACACCTGAACCAAAAGTCAATTCAGGAAGGTCTTATTTTAAGGGAGGAATTTCCCTTTAAAGAACACTCTTCTTCGGTGGTATTGATGTGTAAAATGACATCCTAGGCTGCGCACTGCCACCTAGTTATTTTACCCAGCAGGCACTGACAGTTTGAGCCTGCAGAGGGCGCTGAAGACCTACTTTAAAACTGAGTGTGGTCCACACGCTACATCAACACCATCATCATCACCATCATCACTGTGGTTCAGCTCAGAAGGTTTCCTGCAGTCTGTTTGCTTTATTCTCGTCTTCTAATTCTTTTTATATTTTATCTGTGTGGTTTTTTTAAATCATCATAATTACACAGAGGATGCTTCATCTGTCAGTACTGCTTATTTTGTTTTATTACTTAATAACTGCAACATACTTATACATACTTGAG